GAGAGTAGGTTGAGCCACAAGGTTGAACAAGCATGGTCGGGATCCATCTTCTCCAACCCATAGATCATAATCTCAAGGGCATCCTTCAACTTCCATTCACCTATGGAAACATTGAGTTCACCCCGAGACTTCATGCTAAGTGTATCGGCTACTACATTCGCCTTCCTCGGATGGTAGTTGAGTGTGAAATCGTAGTCTTCTAGGTACTCAATCCACCTTCTTTGCCAGAGATTCAAGTCTTTCTGTGTGAAGAATATACTTGAGGCTCTTATGATTAGAGAACACTTGGAATTTCTCTCCATACAAATAACACCTCCACAACTTAAGGGCAAAGACCACAGCAGCAAGCTCTAAGTCATGGGTGGGATAGTTCTGTTCATGAACCTTGAGTTGCCTAGAGCCATAGGCAACCACCTTTCCTTCTTGCATTAGCACACATCCCAAGCCTCATAGTGAAGCATCGGTGTAGACGTCGTATCTTCCCCACTACTAGGTATAATGAGGATAGGCGTCGTTGTCAACTTCTCCTTCAAGGTGCGAAAGGCTAGCTCACACGCTTGAGTCCACACGAATTTTTCTCCCTTCCTTGTGAGGCGAGTCATTAGCATTGCAAGCTTTGAGAACCCTTCCACAAACCTATGATAATAGCCGGCTAACTCCAAGAAACTGCGTACTTTCGTCCCATTCTTCAGTGGTTCCCATTTCATCACGACCTCAATCTTTGCAGGATCAATGGCTACCCCTTGTTCGGACACAACATGACCAAGAAATTTCACTTCCTTTATCCAAAACTCGCACTTACTCATCTTCGCATACAATTTATGTTCTCACAATGTTTGTAACACAATCGAGAGATGACATCCATGCTCCTCTTGGGTCTGTGAATAAATCAAGATGTCATCAATAAACACAATGACAAACTGATCTAAATATGGCCGAAATATCTTGTGCATCAAATCCATGAAGGCTGCTGGAGCATTAGTCAATCCGAACGGCATCACCATATACTTGAAATGACCATACGATGTACGGAAGCCAGTCTTAGGAATATCTTCCTCCTTTATCCGCAATTGATGATACCCTGTGCGAAGATCAATCTTGGAGTAATACTTTGAATCCTTCAACTGATCAAATAAGTTATCAATTCGTGGCAAAGGGTATTTATTCTTCACAGTAATCCGATTCAACCTCCGATAATTTGTGCACAACCGTAGTGTCTTATCTGTTTTCTTCACAAAGAGGACCGGGGCTCCCCAAGGTGAAGTACTTAAATGGATAAACCCAATCGCCAACAAATGATCCAACTGCTTCCTCAGCTCCTTTAACTCCAAGAGTGCCATCCAATAGGAAGCAATGGATATGGGTTTGATTCCTGGGTAAAGATCAATCTTGAATTCAATCTCTCTTTGTGGGGGTAACCCTGGTAATTCCTCTAGGAAGACATCCAAAAAATCCATACTATCAACATTACGTCTATAGGGAATTTATCCCGATCATCTCCCATCAAGCTAGCTAAGAAACTCAAATGGCTCCCCACATTAGCTTTCAAGAATTACTACTCAAAGTAGGAAATGGATGGGAAGAACTTCGGTCATTGATAAAACTGAAAACTACCCCTCCTGGTAACTGAAATGTAATCCGCTTGCGGAAACAATCCATTATCGCCCGGAAAGTGGACAACAAGTTTATCCCGAATATAACGTCACACCCCTTCATATCTAGAGCAACCAAATCCACAATCAATTCGTGTTCCCCAATACGAAGCACGCAACCCTTGCAGACTCGGCTGGTACCCAACTGTTCTCCCATAGGCAAGTCAACATTCAATGCATGTTCTAGCTTCTCGAAACCCAATCCCAAATTAATAGCATACTCAGTACGTATAAAAGAATGAGTCGCACCGGGAGCAAATAAAATTCAGGCCCAAGAATTGTAGAGAAGAACGATACCTTCCACAATGGCATTAGAGGCATCTTCCTCCGGTTGGGTCAAGGTAAATACTCTCCCCTGAGTGGCGCCGCCTGGGGCTAGAGCTCCCAATGGCCTCTTCTGCTGTAGTGGCTTGTTTGCAGCCACTTGTCCTGTCGCTTGGTTGTCCCTCGTTGGAAGCAATGGGCAATTGTGTCTGAAGTGCCCCACTCCTCCACATGTGAAACACTAACAGGGGTCTATGGCTGTCTTCTGCGGTACACCTCCTGCTCCTCGAGCTATCTAAGGTCTCTATCCCCTTGCATGATCTGGGCGATGGAAGGGTGCCGCTCTCTACGCTCCACTACTACTAGCACCCGCCCGAATTGGACCTCCTCTCATGGCAGTTTGCTTCCTCTGACTGTCCTCCATATCACTCTCTACTAGTGCAGCTCTATCCACCATGTCCCCATAGTCATGGATCTTGAAAGCCACAAGCTTCTATCTAATTGCCAGCCTCAAACCCTACTCGAAACACTTGGCCCTCCTGGCCTCTGTGGAGATAAACTCTATGACATATCTGGATAACTCGTCAAACCTCCTCTCATAATCCATCATAATCAAGCTACCATGTCGAAGAGTGAGGAAATCAGCACTCATCTTATCTCTAATCGACTTGGAAAAATATTTGTCTTGGAAGATTTGGTCAAACTCATCCCAAGTAAGTGCATCGGGGTTTCTCCGTCTCTTTACTGAATCCCACCAATGGTCGGCCTCTCCCTCGAACAAGTAAGTAGCTAAGCCAACCCTCAAGTCCTTGGCAACTCCCATGCCATCACAAATCTTCCTTATACGACGAATCCACTTATCCGCTTCTAAGGGTTGAGAGCTCCCCTGAAACGTAATTGGACGTTGCCTCAAAAATTCTCGAAGAACTACCATCCTTCGATCTTCGTTTCCATTGCTTAGTACTTGCGCTAGAGGATGCGCTCCACCATTGTGGTTGTGGTTGTTGTTGTTTCCATTCTGGCTTCGCACCAGAGTGGTGAGCTCCCTCAAGCATTGATATATGCCTTGCATGGCATCAGGAGGTGGTGGCGGTGGTGGTGCTTGGCCTCCAGGACCACGCCTATGTCCACTTTCGCGTACATTTCTGTCGTCCATCTTGTACATCAATTCACAATTTAGTTTCATTGATGTACCAGATATCCTAAGTATTATTTTAATCTAAAGCATATGGTTCATATAAAACTAGACCAACAATTTCCTTCACCCTAATCCTAAATCTCTAGTGGTGATCCATAACCTACAGCTCCCATGTAAGACCTAAAGCCAAAGCTTTGATACAAAATTTTTGTAACGCCCCAAAAATCACCCTGGAAGGCATTACCTTCTAAAATCATTCATACTATGAGAACAACTAATAAAATCCATAAATAACTGGGGGTTTCTTAATTTAATAATATTCGGGCAGAGTCTCCTTTGTTCGGGGAGCTCTATCCAAAACACAACCTATACAATTATACCACATTGACCACACCGGGTCCATTTATCCATAAAATATTTACAACATTATCCAAAAGAATAAGCTCAAACTAGGGCTACTACATCAAAAGAACTACATTTGAACTTAGCAGCGGAATAAACAAAATACTAGACTTTACAAGATTGTACATAATCGTTCCTAGCCTAGCACAAAAATAAATGACATCTCTGGATGTCCCAATCGGGATACAAGTACCCCTCTAATGAAGCTTCTCCATGGCCCGACTCGTTAGCACCGAGCTCCCCCTCTGGCCCATAATCTGTAAAATGTTTAACTGTAGGGGTGAGCACAAAGCTCTGCAGAAAAATTCTCCCATAGTCCTCGTCGCAGTGACCAACTTTAACTCTTGGTCCAAGTGATTCCGACCGACAAAACTCCGTGGATCATGGAGAGAAGGTAGAAATTTATGTTTTCTTCTCTTCACTTTCTCTTCTCCTCTTCCAACGTGAACCAGAAGACTTTGGGGGAGAGAAATATCTAAAAAATTAGATATTTAACCGCTACTTATACTTTTAATTGCGTGGTCCACATTGTACCGCACGTTTCCTACTTTTGGGTCCGTTTTTATCCCGAAACTACTTAATTCTTTCCCGGTTTAAGTTTTATTTGAACTTTCCTTCAATTATAAGGAAATTTTATAATTTTCTTTTTTAGGGACGTTTGTGAGTTCATCCGACCCCTAGTTGTCTCGTAAAGCGTGAAAAATTTGACTATCTCAGAATTTGATGAAAATTGACTGGACAACTCAATTTTATGATACAAATCCAATGATGAGATCCGTTATGTCATCCAAGTTTTAAAAAATATAGATTTTAATCCGACATTATAGTGGCAACTTACCATCTGTTCCATGGCCCATAAAATCTAAACAAAAATTAGATCAAGATGTTGCCATCTTAGCCTCAACAGTACTGGTTGTGCTGATCATCACTATGGCTGGGATTGCTTGCATACAAAGGAGAATAAAGTATGCAGAAATACTTGAGGATTGGGAATTGGAATATAGGTCTCAGAGGTTCTCCTACAATGATCTCTACAAAGCAGCCAATGGGTTCAACCACAAAGAGCTTCTTTGAGTAGGAGGTTTTGGACAAGGTTTCTAGAGGGGTACTTCCTTCTTCCAATGTACAAGTAGCAGTCAAAAGAGTCTCCCATTATTCAACACAATGGATGACGAAATTTGTGGCTGAAATTGCTAGCTAGGGTAGGCTAGGACATAGGAACTTGGTGGCCCTCTTGGGAGAGCTTCCGTTGGTCTATGATTATATGCCCATGGAATTCTTGACAAGTTTTTACACAGGAACAACAATCCAAGCCTTAATTGGGCACAACAATAATGAATCATTAGAGGGGTAGCATCAGGCCTTCTATATCTACATGAAGAGTGGGAAAAAGTTGTTCTTCACAGAGATGTCAAGGCCAATAATCCTTGTGGATTCCCATTTTAATGGACAGCTCGAAGACTTTGGGCTTGCTTGATTGTATGATCATGGTGAAAATCCTAAAAAAACCCATGTGGTTGGAACTTTTGGATATATTGCACTAGAGCTTGCTAGAACTGGCAAGGCAACTACTAGCATAGATGTCTTTGCTTTTGGGACATTTATGCTCGAAGTGGCTTGCGGACAAAAACCTCTACAGGTGCAAGGATTGAATGATGATATGATTTTGGTTCAGTGGGTTTTGGAAAAATGCAAAGAAGGAGCAATTCTTGAGGCAACTGATCCGAGATTGGGAGGTGATTTTTTGGTAGAGGAAATGGAGTTGGTTTTGAAGCTAGGTCTGCTTTGCTCGCACTATAATCTGGTGACTAGGCCTAGCATGAGGCAAGTGAAGCAATATTTGGATGGGGAAGTTATCTTGCCCGAAGTATTTATGGATATTGCAAGAGTTGGCATGGCTACATTATTTGGGAATGAAGTTTTAAAAGAATTTGTAATGACATTCCCTTTATCATCCTTGGGGAGTGTTTCTGCTGATGCTCTGTTAGGTACTTCGTCACTGGTTGGCGTGGGATGTTAAGAGTGAAATACGTTTGATGGCTAAAATATTTTGGATCTGATCATGGATTGTATTTTGATAAATAATTCCATATGTTTCAATATCAACTCCTGATGCTTTGTGGTTGTTTTTGTTGAAACATTCTAGCTAGTTTAAAATTATGTTAATTTGGAATTGTTTCAATATCATTGTTCTAAGTGTAATGTTATTTGAACTAAAAATATGACATAATTTGTTGACATAATGATGTCATTGGATCCATTGGATTAACAATAAGTTTCAATGTTTGATGGGGTGCACAATCAATCCAAATATCATAATAAATTAGATCAGCAAATTAAATTAGTAAATTAAGTCTCATCGCATTGCTCAATGTTTATGGCTTTTAATCAACTAAAAAAGACAAATGGACATAGATCAAGATGCTCATTCACTCTTCACTCCAGAACTCGAGGAAGAAAGAGATCAGAAAGAAGACAGGGCGGTCTTGGAAAGCTATATCTTTCACACCAATAAACTCTCCTCTAGTGCAAAATATCATCTTTCCTCCAACTAATATAATGTTGGCCAATGCTTCATTTAGATTATGTTCAGCCCAGGGTTTCTCAAGCCACATATTCTTGAATCCCAAATTTCATAACCTAGCTTTAGCACAACTCTCAAATTTCAAAACTCATAGCTCTGATCATGATCGCACCAAAAACGATGAATAATAAATTGCAATGAAAAAATATAACAACATAACAGATGAAAAACTGGGTTCAAAAGTCACACACGAGTTCTTAGACTCATCAAAATTTAATACAACACAAAATAAAAACAAAAGAAATAACTGATCTCAAAATTTCTAGCAAAAGCACAACAAAACACACTACTTCGACAACTGGTACTGCACTGGGTCCGCCTCTATTTTATTCTCAACAATTGCACTTAGGGCTGTTTGGTTTGCTGGAAAATAGGGAGGAGTAAAATTGATGTTTTTTTGTTTGGTGAAGAAGAAAAATTGAAATGAAAGGTGAGGAAAAAGGAGTGGAAAATGCAACCCTTCTGTCGGCATTTTTAATCACTCCAAAAATTGGCAAAACTGGAAAGATAACGGAAGCATGGTGCAAAAGTTTCCTAAAATTACCATTTTAGCCTTCAAGGTTCAGATTTTAAAACCACCAATTTGGAAAAAAAAAAAATTGGGGTCCGCTTGTTTTGTCATTTGGACCAAATTAGTGAGGTCTAAATCAAAATGATTAGAATCTTGAAAGGTTACCGTAAATATGTTAAGATAGTTATTTGGTAGTATTTTTTGAGTAAATTTTTCATGCCCAGCCTATTCCAGCATGTCATGCTTATTTGGTGCCCAACACCAATTCACAGTTATGTCAATAGACTGTCAAATAAAATAAAATAAATGTCATATAATCATAACCAACAGGTATAGTTGATGAAAATAATGAAATATTTATTTATGTTTTCTCTCTCTACATAGTCTGTCATATTATATTTATATATTAGGAATAACTCGTACCTTAAGGTACGGTGTAATGTAAATGATTTTGAGAGGGATGTTATTGGTCATTGGATGAGTCTATTTGAAATCGTCGGATAGACTTATTAAAATCTGTCATATTTTATTAAAATACTATTTGAATCTAAAAATTTGACATAATTTGTTGACATAATGATGTGATTTCATAAGAATCATTAGATCAACACAAAATTCTAATATTTAAATGAGTCGACAATGAATCTAATGGTTATACTAAATTATGTCAACAAATTATGTCCATAAATTAAGTCACAATAATATTATTCTATAAATTTTGTTATATCATGTCAGTCTTTTGTTTCTTATTTCTCTCCTCTCAAAATAATGAGGTTCAAAGTTTAAATCCCACCTTTAATTTTAAAATTTAAATATCTACTATAAATAAGTGGAGTAGAATACTCAAATATCGACTTTTATTTTCTCTCCTATTTTTGTCTCCATTTTATAGCTTCTTCAGTTGTTCTGATCTCCCTCTTCTTCTCTCTAAGGAGGCCACTTTGCCCTCTCTCTCTCTCTCAATAGCGTCTACAGATGTGGAATACAGATGCTTTGTCGATGGGTTGCCCTAGGCCACCACCGAGCAGTCCCTTGAACAAGCCTTTGATGATCTATTCAAAGATCATCAATGATCGCGAGATTGGAAGGTCAAGGGGATTTAGGTCTGTGATAAGTGATGGATCAATGCCAATACCGTTAGGATTACATGATAGGATTACACTCATCAGTAGTTATCTTGTATTTAAACTCATGTAGTTATCTTGTATAGGATTCTTATCTATTGTACACTCACAAATACAAATATAAATAAAACTCTTCCAACTCACTTTCAAGTGAGTCATTCCAAACAATCAATCTTCTTCTCGTTCATTATATTAGAGCCTTGATCCATAAAATTTCTGCAATTTTTTTCCTCTTTTCCTAACACTATCATGGCCTCCTCATCGTTGCCCACTACTTTTCCCCTTACCAACATCACTAACTTTGTCTTCGTGAAAATTGATGGCAACAACTATTTACCGTGGCGTGATCAACTTGAATCCATTCTTATAAGTACAGGCCCTCCTGCAATGACATTGATCTCGCCAATGGGGGTCTTGATGACCTCGGTTCCCGTCCTTCGGCTACCTTCTATTTATCTTTGCAGTCATTTGAAACAAAATGCAACAATCTTCCTCTTCGGATCAAAGATTCTATTTGATCTTTTATGTCTCTGCATTCTTTAGTATTGTGGCCACGATCTCGATGGAATCTCGAATGTTAACCATGGTCTTTGGGGAATCTTTGCTAAATAGTAGAGAAATGTGGGGGTACTAACACCTCTTAGAAAAATAGTGAGGGACAATCTGTTATCAAGGTCCTGTACTTGTATGGCTTCATTGATAAACCGAGTAACATAACTTCTGAGGGATTCATCTTTTTGTTGCTTAATGTTTAATAAGTAGGTGGCTGGTTTCCTATGTTTCTTTCCTCCCGCAAAGTGTGACATAAAAGGCTGACTTAACTGGGAGAAGGTGGAAATGTAACTTGGTTGTGGCTTAATAAACCCCATGCGAGCATTCCCAGTTATCGTGGTTGGGAATGCTCGACACATGATCTCGTCTGGAAAGGCATGCAACGTTATCAAGCCTTTAAACTTTTGAAGGTGATGGAGTGAAAAATATTATCATCGTTACATTAGCTCCCATCAGAATCGCAAAACCAAATCTACCTCTCTTGTCGGCTTCCATTGATCTTTCTCCAGTTTTCTTGGACTCTTTGTATGTTGGTTTCTCTTCATCTACAGGATCAATTATAGGTTCGATAAGCAACTATGACATTCTGGGGTGGAGTTTCAACCAAACTGGGCCAGCACAGAGCCTAGACCTATCAAAACTTCCTTCTATTCCATGGCCCAGAAAATCCAAATGAAAATTACATCAAGATGTTGCAATCTCGGTCTCGATAGTACTGGTTGTGCTGATCATCACTATGGCTGGAATTGTTTACATACAAAGGAGAAGAAAGTATGCAGAAATACTTGAGGATTGGGAATTGGAATATGGGCCTCAGAGGCTCTCCTACAAGGATCTCTACAAAGCAACCAATTGTTTCAACCACAAACAGATTCTTGGAGTAGGAGGTTTTGGATAGGTTTACAGAGGGGTACTTCTTTCTTCCAATTCCCAAGTCATAGTGAAGAGAGTCTCCCATGACTCAACACAAGGGATGAAGGAATTTTTGGCTGAAATTGCTAGCATTAGTAGGCTAAGACATAGGAACTTGGTGGCCCTCATGGGCTATTGCCGGAGAAAAGGAGAGCTTCTGTTGGTCTATGATTATATGCCCCATGGAAGTCTTGACAAGTTTTTACACAACAATGGGAATCCAAGCCTTAATTGGGCCCAATGCTATCGAATCATTAGAGGGGTAGCATCAGGCCTCTGTATCTACATGAAGAGTAGGAAAAAGTTGTTCTTCACAGAGATGTCAAGCCCAGTAATGTCCTTGTGGATGCCCATTTTAATGGAAATCTCAGAGACTTTGGGCTTGCTAGACTGTATAATTATGGTGAAAATCCTAAAACAACCCATGTGGTTGGAACTTTTGGATATATAGCACCAGAGCTTGCTAGAATTGGCAAGGCAACTACTAGCACAGATGTCTTTGCTTTTGGGGCATTTATGCTCGAAGTAGCTTGCGGACAAAGACCTCAAAAGGTATAGGGATTGAATGATGATATGATTTTGGTTCAATGGGTTTTGGAGAAATGCAAAGAAGGAGCAATTCTTGAGGCAACTGATCCGAGATTGTAAGGTGATTTTGTGGTAGAGGAAATGGAGTTGGTTTTGAAGCTAGGTCTGCTTTGCTCGCACTATAATCCGGTGTTTAGGCCTAGCATGGGGCAAGTGATACAGTATTTGGATGGGAAAGTTATCTTGCCCGAAGTAATTATGGATATTTCAGGAGTTGGCATGGCTGCATTGTTTGGGAATGAAGATTCAAATGAATTTGTAATGACATTCCCTTCATCATCCTCGGGGAGTGTTTTTGTTAATGCGATGTCTGGTATTGAGTCACTTCTTGGCATGGGGTGTTAAGAGTGAAATATGTTTGATGGCTAAAATATTTTGGATCAGAGGATGGATTGTATTTTAATAAATAATTTCATATATTTCAGTATCAACTCTTGATGTTTTGTGATTGTTTATGTTGAGATATTCTAGCTAGTTTAAAATTATGTTAATTTGGAAATGTTTCCATATTATTCTTCTAATGCTATGACATTGATCCTTGAAGTGGTTTTCAAGTTTTCCCCCTAATTGTATTTTAGCTTGTTTTCTCCGTCAACAATAGATTTTAGTTTATTTATAAAAAATATATATAAATTGTAGATACTTGAGGTATGTTCATAATTTTGCAAAAGCAGGGGCAGAGCGAGAGTTTCTTTTTAGTGGGAAAAACCATCAAGTTAAAAAGAACTTGATACAACTATCAAGTATAAAGAGAATGACTATTTAACAATTATCAACGTTCGTTGCATCTAGTGAACATAATTATTTTCTCAAATTTTCATTCTCTACAAAAAAAATTTCTAATCTAACACCTTTTATAAAATAATTCTTCATATTATTTTTTTTACTTTCAAAGATTTCACATATAAATACAAGTGAAAAAATGATAGAACTTGACTATAAAAAACTAATATAATTTTTTTTTTGGTATAAAGTATTCGAATAAAGACAGTTTTCATAGAGAATGTTATTTTGACATATCATTTTGTGAGTGTGCTTGTCAATTATAAGATTTTGACTCATCCGAATGGCAATTTGTTTTGAAAACCCTATTTTGAATCTAATATAATTATTCAACTAATTTTGTTTTTATAATCCATATTCGAATACATTAAATATTATGAATTTTATCAAAAATTCAATCTTATATATATATATATATATATTTGTGTGTGTCAATGTATCGCATTGTAATTTTAATTCAATTTAAGCGCTTAGTTTTATCAAATGTTTACATATACATATTTGTGTATGCATATCAAATTGAATTGAAGTGAATTGAATTGATGAATTGAATCATAATTAGATCAATTTTTTTTATGCGCCCAAATCCAAAATCTTAGAAAATGATGTAGTATGTTTGAACTTAGATAATTGGTCAAAAATATTAATCTATGTCTTAGTAATTGAATTCGGAGAAGGATTGATTCGGTAACTTAAGTGAGTCATTGCATAAGGAATAAAGATAACTAAAGATTAAATAAACAATTGTGAGATTAAGTCTGTATGAGCAAACCTTGAGTCTAAGTTTTTAGTTCGTTAAAAAAAATGAGTGGGAGCAAGTTATTAAAAAAATTAATTTTTATTATAATTTTAAATTAACCCTACAAATTTTCAAAATTTCAGTGGGGTCAATTGCCCCCACCCTGCCTCTGCCCCTATGCAAAAGCCTTATTTAGCGAGTTTTGACATGTTTTTCTTATTCCATCAGATGTTTATGGCTTTTTAATCAACTAAAAAAGAAAAATGGATACAGATCGAAATGCTCATTCACTCTTCACTCCAAAACTCAAGGAAGAAAGGGATCAGAAAGAAGATGGGGCAGTCTTGGAAACCTATATCTTTCACACCAATAAACCCTCCTCTAGTGGAAAGTATCATCTTTCCTCCAACTAATATTGTGTTGGTCAATACTTCATTTAGATTATGTTCTAAATATGAGTAATACTATTTGAACCTAAAATCTGACATAATTTGCTGACATTATGATGTGATTTCGTAATTATCATTGGATCATCACCAAATTTCAATATTTGATAGAATTTACAATGAATCCAAAGATTACAATAAATTATGTCCGTAAATTAGGTCCTAGTAATATAATTCTATAAATTTTGTCATATTATGTCAGTCTTTTGTTTCTTATTTCTCTCCTCTCAAAATAATGAGGTTCAAATTTTAAATCCCACCTTTAATTTAAAATTTTAAATAGCTACCATAAATAAGTGGAGTAGAACACTCAAATCTTGATTTTTATTTTTTATCTCATATTTTTGTCTCCATTTTTATAGCTTCTTCAGTTGTTCTGATCTCACTCTTCTTCAATATGAGGAGGCCTCTTTGCCCTTTATCTCTCTCAATGGTGTTTGCAGATGTGTAATACAAATGCTTTTTCGGTGGGTTGGCTTGGGCCACCTCCGAGCAGTCCCTTGAACAAGCCTTTGATGATTTATTCAAAGATCATCAATGATTGCAATACTGGAAGGTCAAAGGGATTTAGGTCTATGACTTTCAAGGATGAGCAGTCGATGAGGGACGCGATCGAGAGTGTGAATGGCCAGGATCTTGATGGTGATGGTGGTAGTGGCAATAATGGTGGCATTGGCAGTAGCGACAAGGCTAGTCCCGTGGAGGCAGTAGTGGATATGGCAGTAGTGATGACCGTGGATATGGTGGTGGTGACCTTGGTTTTGGGTTAAGTGGATGTAGCACTCAAAAACTTCAAGACACGTGTCTTCACCATAACAGGACAAGTGACAACAATTTTCAGTTGATATGGAAATGGTGCTTGACAACGTCAACTGGATTTCTATAAATAACAATGACATGCGTGACACCCAAGGCACGACACTTCAGGTGTGATGTCCCTTCGCGCAACACCCTTGGGGTTAATGCCCTTGGGCTCAACGTCCTCAAGCACAATACCGCATTAGAGCAAGATCATCTTCATCGCATTGGAAGTGGCAAAATAAACCTTTCAACAAGGTTGGACCGAAGTTTAATCCCAGAAGTGTGGGGGTAACCGCAGCGAGTCTCGCCTCCCCCGTTGCAAGAATGGTATCCTCAACCTTTTGAATGTCGTTACTCGACTAGCCCAATGGATTAAGAGGTGTCTCCACCTAGGGACAGTGGAGTATGGCCTTCCTCACGGGAGAATTGAGCAATAGGGGTGGATGAGCACGATTGTCATCCTCGGCTTGGGGCAGGGTCGCAAAGGTTTAGTCTGCTCGAGTAAGCCTCCTAGTGTATGGCTCACTGCCTACTAGGATATGCGTGACTGGGATCCGTGGAGACTCTTAAGATAACTGGGGTTATTGGCCCTGGATGCTTATATGGGATGATGGGACATTTGGATTGGTGGTTGAAGGACCAAAACTATTTGAGTTTCCTTTATTGGGCACCTGGCAAAGGTCTTGAAGAAGGGTCTAGATAAGGAAAAAAGGACCTCGGATAGGGGTGCGCTGGGAGCATCGCAGACATGGCCTTCTCGAGGTTATAGTCCCACAGTGACCAGTCATGGTCATGGACCTTGGGAGCCCACTCTCGCCTTGGCTATTGCACCATTCTCAAGGCCACGTCCAGGTTTTGTTTGGGAAAATATCACATCTTCCTAGTTAATGTTGGGATGCATGGCTTGGGTTAATGACCATTGGTATTGTCACGGGAGGTAGCCTTTTGGGCAGCCTGACCTGCCCGGGCACTGTGCTATAAATGCCCACATTACTTGCCCACTGCAGAGGATGATTTTCTGGCTAGTGAGAGCATTTTTCACCTACTCTCTGCCCAACTGGTTCGTTCCTTTGTTAATAGGCTGCTCAAGTTCCTTCCATCCCATCTACTTATCCTACTCACCCTCTTTGATTACCCTTGGTATAGACACGTGTGTCAACCTTTTTTAACCCCCACCTACATTCTTTTGGCGATTCCACTAGGGAGATGACACTTCGAATGGTATCTTTGCTTTCTGATGACAATGCCATTTTGAGTTGGACGCCTATTCACTTCACTACGTTACCTTTCAGAAAACATGACCAAAGGTCATGATTCTTTTTCTTTTCTTCTGGTCAACAAAATAAAGGGGGGGGGGGGGACTAGAGAAAGGAACCGTGTGTTCTACGAAAATGTTCAAATATGTTCTTGCGCTAGGCTTTGGCCAGCGTTGTTTTCTTGTCCACCTTATGAAATGATAGTGAAAACAACGTATCAATACTAAAGCTTCCACTGTGAAGGACTCAACATGCATAATGAGAAAAGCTTTCTTGTGAAAAGCGCCTTTGGTGAAGTTGTCTGCATAAGAAGGTAATTTGGTTCTGTCCTTTTATCCTTGTTCTATATTTTATATTGCTCACATAAGTCATCCTTCTACATGTTTTATATCTTCTCCTTACATGCCTTCATATGAGTCAAGGAACACATACGGAGGAGTCCTAAGCAGATTACTACATTTGACTTTTATTTTATTTAAAAAAAAATCAACCTTCAAACTTGTCACTTGAACACACGATCCACAAATATTATTTGTCACTTGAACACACTAGCCGAATATATTATTGGAAAATGAATATCTCACTAGCTTAATCACTATAACCACAGCAACGATGGAGCATAGTCACTCGTGGTTATACTAAGTGACCAACTCAAAATGATAAGTCATAAGAGCAAAAGCTGCTGTATAAAGACAAAAAGACAAAAGGTTAAGCATTCAGATGATGTGAACAAAGTATATAAATGGACCCCATCCATGTTATGAGGAGTCTATGTTGGCAAGTTACAAGTATCATGACCGCGAAGACAAACCACCTCGACGGCCTGCCGTGTTCGTGACCCAATGTCGCGACACAAAACACTTCATGGCTCACTGGCTCGGAATCCTTTTTGTATCCTTAACTAGTTTTCCATCATTTTGGAGTATGGTGGTATAACTAATAAAATATAAGGAGTGGGTACCTTGACGGTCCCTCCCTACAACCACGAGACCAATGTTCAACTTAATAGTTTATTAAAGGAAAACTCATGGAATGGTCCCATAAATCTAAGGTGGAAACTATATAAATCCAATTAAATCATAGTATCATTGGGCCTCATTTGAGTAGCCATTAACTTGGGTAATAGCTTGATAAGATGGACTTGGTATCAAGCCATTGATACGGCCGAAAACACAGAAATATTTGGGTAAAAAAAATGTGTATACAAATGAACAAATAAATATGTCTGCGCTACTTAGTGAGTCTTTTCGCAACCCGCAGAACTCTCTTTGACTCAATAATTTTTTGTGGGAAAGCCATGAAATTGGTCCCTGTATTGTAGATAAAACATCATCTAGATTTTGAAAAGTGTGGCAAGAAACATCTAGTTGTTTGTGCGGCCGTTGGTTTGACCAATAGTTCAAGTGGGTTGCCATACCAATCTAAGAAAATTCATTGTATAGTTGGTCCTTCGATCAGGATATGCCTATACACGAAATGCATAAAGTTTTTATTATTTGAAAATAGTCCCCACTCTTATTATTAGGAATGTATGTTGCCGAATTGCTTGTGTTGTGACCGCAGAGACTATGTGACATATTCACCTTTTCGAGGAACAATAATAAGGTCTCTACAATAACAAGGTATTCATATAACAGAGTCCCTTCACTGGCCTTGGGTCGGCTCACATTGATTCTTTGCCAATGGTTGACATTATAAAATGGAGTTTAGCTATTGACATTCTTCTAAATTCATGGAAAACATGGTCCATAGTCGCGGCACCATTCTGCCATGTGACCCACCACCGCGGCACCAAATATCTTGTGAACGTGAACATACTTCCTCGACTGGTTTTTGAGGTATCTATTGATTGTGACCACAAAGACTTGATTGGCTAATCACCTTTGGCAAGTTTAGGTCTGCCGCGTGAATCGCGTGATCCACCGCCGCGGCACCTGTACCCCCACGAGACTTACCATCACGACACCAAGCTCCTCGGGACCTCACTGCACCTTGGCAAGTGGCACATGAAGAACTACCCTACAAGGATGCTACTTGAACAACTACTTTGTTAGCGGTTATGTCACCGTGGGTTGGCCAAGTCCATGTTTATTTTAAAAAAAAATGAGCAGTCGCAAGTCGCAACCAATGTCTTCAGTCGGACTGTTGCCTTCTTGACTCATGCACCTACTCAAAAATTGCACAAAAAAGCCTCGTGGACCTCGCAATACCCATGACTTGCACCACTCGAAATGGCCTCACCACCCGAATAACTCGCAAATGAATGGTTTTGAGGGATGCATATAGCGCTGGCACTGAGGAATTGCAAGCAAACTTTCTAATTAGATTCATTCCTTTCCTCACTTTGGTATTTACATGAGCCACACACCTATCTTTATTATATTGAATGCCTGCATGAATTGTTACATTATGTATATGCAAATATTTATTCAAGTAATAATCACCACCTTGACAAAACTGTCACATAGAGACATGAAATTATCATTTGACCACCCTACATGGTGGTCCATAGAGATGGGCATGGCTCACTGAATTGCATGCCTCATCATAAAATATTTACAAGTTATTTATTCTCAAACATACATTACTACTGAGTTGTCACATAGTGGTATGGCTCGGAATGATTTATCCTCTATATCTCATTTCCAACTATTTTTATAAAAAAAAAAAAAGAGGGGGAAGGGGATGATAATATTGCTTGTCATGGCAGGGTATCAAATGATTTTTGGCCTTATTTTGCACGAGTTTTACATTGTCATATAAATATATGAGCATGCCCAAATATGTGGAAGATGGGGCAAATTTATAAAAATAGCAATTGGGTATATGTACTGAAGTTATTTTGGACAATTATCTTACATTTTTGAAACTTTGTACCCCATATCAGACTTCAAGACCATCTCAACACGTGGTCATATCCTCTTTATCATAATTGGGCAGTAAAGCCTTTGTCTTAGCATTTTCATGGACTCATTAATGTAGATAGATATTTTAATGAATGTAATCCCACCTGTGCTAACTAATGACATTTCTTTATGCGAGGGACACCATTGCTAAGGGCAACCTATTATCATGCACTTCCCACTATTGAACCATGGCTTTGAAAAGCTCAGGAAGTGGCCTTGGAATATGAAAATCTTGAATGGTTATACATTTTCAAAATTACCGTGACTAATTCCGAGGTGAGCCTGCCCTCTCATGACATGTCACTTACACATTGCTGGACAAGGAAGTTATTCTCTTAATGCTGTAAGGACACTGGAATATGGAAATATTGCAGCCACTAGCCTTGGTGTTCCTCGAAGGCAAACTGTTGCTCGATGAATTGCATAGTAACTCAAAGAGGGTCTACCCTAGACTCTTAATAAGGTCTGCCAAGCAGAATGGTCCCTTCCTCTAGAGAATCTTGGTCAATAAGTTCTACAATTTAGGCCGCGGACATCTCGCAGTAAACTAAAATGGAGTAGCTTCCTAAAATGACTCATCTGCCTGGGTTCTCTTGAATTTTGCATACCCGTCATTGCAAAGCTTCATGTGATGTATACCCCACTAATTCTCAAAGTGAAGTAGGCGGTCTCAAGCAACAAACTACTTCTTGCAATATTCCTTTGTGAGATCCCAAATTTTTAGAAGTAGTTTAAGTATAAAATATTATGAGTTTTGATGTGAAAGTATAAGGAATATTTAATTTTTGTGGTTGATATATATAATAT